TAATGAACCAATAAGAATAATGGTCTCTTACTAAACACTAATCCAACTTTCCATGGCATTGTTCTCAACAATAATTGAACCTCCAAAGGGCTTCCAAAACAACCAGATCTTAAGTTTTCAGAAGGCTGTGAGACAACTTTCAGCTTGGGGTGCAAGCTGTTCCATAGAATGAAAGTCCCCACAGACGATGACCACTCCTGTGTCTCCTCTTGTTGCACATTCTGATAGATGGGGATCCGTAGTAGTCTATATTGCTTGTATGTATTGGGCAGGCAGACTCTATCTGGGTGAAGTGGTCTCAAATCTACCCAGGTCCCAAGCTATATAGTACTTTTGATAGGTAACAATTAGCTTCTTGAATTGCCCTGGGTGTATTAGCCCTGCTGGGCTCATCTGCTGATGAGGAGGAGGAGGTAGAGCCAGGGGCTTCTAGGGATAATAATCCAGGAGAGGATGATTCAAGCAGTGTTGAGGCCAATGGCTCCACTCCGGCTGAGGCAGATCCAGCAAGCCTTCAGGACCTACCGACAACCTCTCAGACTCTGAAGTCCAGCCACCCAGCCCCAAGCAGAGGTGTGCTTTAACGATACAACAGCAGAGGGCTGAGCTCTGCAGGTCAAATAGACTGGCCAAGAAGCAGGCCAGCAGGAGAGAAGCCTCTAAAGAGTAATGTACCTTACCTGTGCATCTGGGTGGTGGCTCAACATGGCTTCTTTATTGGCCTCCCTCCCTGACAGAAAAGGCTGAGAACGACTTTTCAAGGCTCAGCTCTGCTGTGTTTACTTTGTTGTGCTGTGCTTTAAACTCTGAATTCTACCTCACTGTATCTCTCATCTTTTCCCTTGGATTTGTCATTTGCTTATTGGATTCCTCGTCTCAACCAGTGCCAAGCCTTGACTACATTACCATTGCCGTCTTTAGCTATAAGTAAAAGAGGTCTCTTTGCTTCTAAAAATGCTGCCTGAGTTTGCATATCTCTGGACTGTGGCAGGCATCCAGCTTGCTATCTTGTTGGCTGGCAGCCAGCAATGCTTGTGCAGAAAACTGGAAAACAAACCAGTAACCAATGAAGTTTTCATAGGAATGGTGTAACATGACAGTAAAAAGTCTAACCCGTAAGCTTATAAGCTGCCATATTTTGTGCCAGATGAAATTTCTGGGTAGTCTTCAAAGATATAGATAGATAGATAGATAGATAGATAGATAGATAGATAGATAGATAGATAGATAGATAGATAGATAGATAGATAGATTTATAGTAATGCTCATAAGGTCCTGCTCTTGCTGATCCCAGGTTCAGTCAGTTATGGAAGGAGTTTC